GATGCGTCGTTGCTTGTTTTTCTGAACGGTTGTGAAAGTGGAAGGTATGGTTGTTGGGATGAGTGGTTGGCGGGTGCTCTGGCGTGGTTTGCTCCTTCTTTCCAATCAAACACCAGCCGTTCTTATACCCAACTATGTTGTAAGTGCCGTAAAAGGTTTACTAAAACAAAACAAAAGCTAAAACAAGCCTGATATGGTGTTCTATTTCTAACTTTAGAAAAGACAGCTATTGTCGCCTTTCCCTTTTTCCTTAGTACACCGGCTACCCTTGATCTGCCTGTGTGTCAAGGAGATGAAAGTTAAATTCCAAGGTTCCACCTCTTGAATAACATAACATTGTTAAACGGGGCGTTAATAAACCCATACGCTTACTAACTTACTTGGGTGTCAAGACAAATATCATGGTGAAATCAAAGTTACAAACAAGACTGTATTAAGTTGAAGGAAGAGGTGCGGAAACAAGACCACAGCATTTACAGACCACCCCTTATCCTAATGAATAAAAAAAAGACGAACCGACATTTAGAAGAAAACACAAACTCACTCAAAAACAACCCAAAAGCCAGTAAACAACAATTTTATTCCACTTGTTAAACCAGTTACACGAATGAATAAAAAAATGGTTGCAGTAAAAAAAAAGGGAGTACTCCCCCCCCCTCCCTTCAGTAACTGTCCACCTTAAGGACACAGCTGCCGATTCATCACTACTTCCATTATTAATTAGATTTAGAGCCTTTCACAGCAGCTGAACTGCAAGTCACAATACGCATAAAATCTTTCTTAAACCGGCTGTTAAGTACAACATACACGATAAAGTTTGACGAAGCATTCAGGGCGCAGACGATAAACACTAAGTCTGCTGTGAGCATGAACAGCTCATGGTAACGTCTCCCGAAGTTGAATTCGGGTTCGAGGCTCTTGCTATAGACAATAGTCAGAAGAGGCAGATTGAAGACGATAAAGAGACAGGATACGGCCCCGACAACACGGATGGTCTTGCTGTATTTTTTTGACTGCATAGATTGCTTTTGATCTTTAACGTCATCTGCCCGTGAGCTAGTAATGCGATTGACTTGGATTTCAGGCGTCTTTGAAATCATGTCGTTTTGCTCGTCGTCATTGGTTTTGTGTAAGTTGTTCGTTAATCGATCTGGTGACAAAGAGTTCAATTTAGCAGACGCTAAGCAGCCATCCTGAACCCGTACTTCAACGTTTATTTTTTGCTGCACAGCAACAGGAGCAGCCGTTGGATTTAATTCTAATTTAGCGACGCCATGTTTTTGGAAATTTGAAGAACGTCTGAGGCCAATACTCATCACCACAGTGTTGATAAGAACAAGGAGCTGACATGCAGAAAGCAAAAACAACGTATTGATGACGTTATTGGCAAACTCGGCATCAGGTCTGGCTTTAGTCAACGTCACTGTCAGTTGTGTGACGTTGTGGTCTGATCGCCAGACTAGCCGTTGTGTGGCGTAGATAGGGCAGTAAGTGCACCCACAGAAGAACCATATTCCCGCTAGCGTCATTCTGATTCTTTTGGCGGACAGGATGACGTGTACCTTCAGCGGTGAAACGACACACAGACAACGCTCAAGAGAAGCTAGCACTGTGGTCAGAGAAGAGATGTCGTAGAACATGGAGCGGGTCCACGAGAAGAATAATACCTAGTGGTGTGGGGGGAGCGGTGGGGAGAATAAGTTTATGGTAAGTAAGAAGGAAATGTACATTGTTTTGGGCAATGGGATACAAATTAACTTTTAAAAATCCAACTAGATCTAGATCTAGAAAAACAATACCCCGAGAGTTGTGTTCAATTGTAAATGTCTATTGCGGCTACCCCCCCTCCCCCCCCCCCAGGTCCCTGTCTAAACAACTTACATTATTTTGTCAGATTTTCTGCTTCAATCCATCATTTCAGGGCTGAGTGGGATACAGCATTTCAGCATATAAATGGAGTGACTCGATAAAAAACAACAACAAACAAACAACAAAACAACAACTAACTTCTCCACTAGAGATTTTAAACCATGTATCCTATATCTTCTGTGCACGACAACGAAGAGCCTGACAACTACATCACATATACCGGTGTATCCTTAGTCTACGGTGGGGCGAGGAAAAGGTGGGTTGTTTTTTTATAGTAAATGAAAGCACATCGGAATGGTAATTATCATTTAGTTTATCGGTAGCAAAAAGGCAAGAAATAATACAAAAAGGAAATAAGACCAAAAAGAAAAAGAGGAGACCTGCCAGAGATGCCTTCCAACAACCTTTAATTTATTAGAAAGAGACGAAATAGAAATTCGTCATAAGTACAACGATACAATATATCGGTCATTTAGTGCTACCCCCCCAAAACCCCCCCCCACACACAACAAAACAAACAACTACAACCAAACAACAACAATGAAACAAAAAACTAGGACTGATTTTCGTACACAGAAATAAACGAAGCAAAATAGTGAAGTAGGACTTACCAGTGGCACTCACCAGCCACCAATTAAGAGAAGTTTTGAGACAAATAAATGGTAAAGTTTTGTGATGACCCCCTCCAACCAAACAAACTGTAATGGCAGGGGACAATATCTATGGTGTTCTATTTGTCCAGGTTTTAAGAAACCAAACAACGAGTTGACTGACATGGATCTGAATCCGTTCTGGAGGCACATGTGTGTTGCTTGAGAAAAACTGAAAGTTTCATCCTTCCAGAAATAGAATTCGTTCAGTGGCCTCACTCGTTTGATTAATAATTTAAATTGAAAAGGACGTACAATTTTTAAACCTGACGTCAAGCTCAAACATACCCTGATTGCATTGAGGTCAACTGTAGAATCGAAGTCCACCAGGAGCCCACAGACGTAGAAGAGAAGGGTGAAGGTCAAAACTACAAAGTCTGACACGGACAATGAAAGAAGGGTCAGGGTCACTGTGTTTTTCCGCCAGTCCTGCCCCAGGAACACTGCCAAGTTGAAAGCATTTAGCAGAAGCCCCACTGCACATACACACATGCCGAGTAGCGCCGTCGGTTCCATGGTCTGTGAGTATCAAAACATGAGTGTGAAAACAATGAGGTCAATACATGTGCATAATATTTCCAAATCGACAAAATAGCCAAAATTGCTCAGCTTTAGAGGTCGCACTGTTAGTTGTAGCTTTGTTGGACGACAGAGCAGATGGCCCTGGTTCTAAACTGGGCGTGTTTGAATATGGGTCGTTTTGTAGAGTTATGGAGGCTGTCACCCCTTATGGCTCTGTCCAATTGGAGACAGAGGTTGAATTGGGAGGTAGTGCCTCTTAAATATTCTAATAGTGTTGATTAAGGCTTTAAACCCACACACTTACTTAATTAAAAACCTATATTCAATTGGTTCTCATAGAAAGAACCCAGACTCTCACAATTACAAGAGGTTTATCCAGAACATAAAGGATTGCGGAGTAGCTCATTCGTTCTCAAAATCTAAAAAGTCGGTAAATGGTTCAAAGGGAAAATTAAGACTAGATATTGAAAGGGAGATAACCTGCAGCTTGTCGAAGAATGCTATGCGCTACAAAGTTTTTTAGAGGAGGTTTTATTTGATAATGAATACTGTATGATTTTTTAAAACGTATCTTTACACCATCTCGATCGGTTAAGCTAATTTTAATCGGGAGGGGGGAGGGGGGAGGGGTGTTGAACTGCTCTTAAGGCGAACTGCAGATTTGAGCATGTGAAATTCACGCCCAGTCCAAGTTGTATTCACTTTATTGGTGGAAAGCGGGACACTGGGCGTTTGCCTGTTTCCTTCAAGTCAAATGATGACGTTTGCGTAAACATATGCTAGAGAATGTCAAATAAAGTGGTAAATCTGAGCTCAAACGTATCAATTTCAACTGTTCGGTTCCTCCAAGAAATCATGAATGGGTTTTCAAAGAAATATTCCTTGTCCTTGAAAAGATTTTTGAATTGTGTAGTCTTGTCCTATCTCTTTGCACCCTCCAACGTGACTGTTTTCCCCCTCTCCTCTAAAGTGCTCTCTTCCCTGGGCCCACAGTCAACCTTGCTCTGTCCCATTTTCCCTTTCGAATGTAAATTAATTATGAAAGAACTGGAGGGAGGAAATTAATGACTGTTTCTGCTTTTAATTTGTTCTGACATTCAAAATAGACTCAAAGCAGGCCTTTTGGAATTCAGGGGACGCCCCACCCTAACAAACAAACAAACAAACAAAGAAACCAACCAACAAACAACGAAAGCAACCAACCAACCAATCAACCAACCAATCAACCAACTAACCAACCAACTAACCAACCAACCAACCAACCGACCAACCAAACCAACCAACCGACCAACCAACCAACCAACCAACCAACAAATAAACAAACAAGCAAACAAGCAAACAAGCAAGCAAACTAACAAACAGATAATGTTGTTGTTGTTGTTAGCGATCCAGTAGCATCTGAGCGTTAACTCTTCTGCATGATGCCATTCGGTAATAGTTGCATGTTTGTTCGAATTGTTGTCTTGAGGAGTAGAGGCAATTAGATGTGTGGGGTAGCTTGGGAAGAAAACATCCCCTTAAATCAGTTAGTTTTCTACAGAAAAACAGATGATGTTCCACTGTCTCTGAGGGGTAGTCACATAGTGGGCAGGCAGCAGATTGCTTTACTCCAATTCGGTTGAGATGTTGGTTGAGGGGTACATATTGTGTTCTAAGTTGGAAGATTATGGATTGATCTCCCCTCCTCAACTCATTGATTGGATCTTTGACCAGTGGTTTCATCCTCCTTCCTGTCGTACCTGTGGCCCAATCATTCATCCACTCTTCCTTGAGGTTTGACTTGATCATTTGGCAGCAGGTGGTGTAATTCGTAGGAATTTCAGACTGAGGGAGACTAGCTCCTTTCTTTGCCAGAGCATCAGCTCTTTCATTTCCCGGTATCCCAGTGTGGGCAGGAATCCATTGTAGGACGTCTCTGACGTGGTGCTTACTTATCAAGTTAAATAGATAATAAGTAAA